CCCCTGTTGTGGTCCAATGGTGGCCACTGCTGCCCAAAAGGGCAGCCGGTAGAATGCACTCTTGATCTCAGGTTCAATTCCTCTCAAAGCAGATACTAACTTACTAATCTAATCATTCCCTCTATAAAAAAAAAACAAATTATAATATTATATATATCAATTAATTTAATAATGTAAATAATTTTTTTTAAATTTTTATCTAAATTTTTCATACTTTCTATTATTATACCTTATAAATTTATTAAATTATTTTTATATTATTTTATTAAAAATATTTTAATAAATTTATAAAATAAATTATATTTTTAATATACAATTTAACATTGTGAGGAAATAAGCAGGAGAGAAAAATATGAAAGAAAATACTTTTCTTGATTCATTTGAATATATAAAGTGTTTATTTATAAGTCTGTACAAAAGAATATTCTGTGATATAAAATCAATTAATCTAATTATATTAATCAATTATAATCTGAATATAATCATAGCAATGTGGACATAATCAATGGAGAATATTCTGTAACATGCCCCCTCAAACTCAAGGTAGTGAAGAGGAGATCAGCTTAAGTTTGGAAAGAAGAGTGCGGAAACGTCTAGGATGCATCCAGGAAAATGAGCCTTAGTGAAGAGATCTGCAGGCTAATCAGCAAAGCCAATAAAGACCAGGTGGACAGTACCTTTGGCAACATGATGTCGAATAAAATGACAATCAACCTCAATATGTTTTGTGCGTTCATAAAAACATCATTGTGAGTAATCCGTAAAGCACTTTGATTGTCACAATAAAGATCAATAGAAGATGGTTGGGAAACACCCATATCCTCCAACAGCCATCATTGGGAAATAAGTTTTGAAGTAGTGTCACCCAAAGCTCTGTATTCAGCCTCAGTACTAGAGCGAGATGGAATAGCTTGTTTCTTACTACGCTAGGAAATAAGAAAGTTACCAAGAAAGAGACAATAGCCAGTAGTGGATCTTCGATCTGTAAGATCACTAGCCCCAATCAGCATCTGAACATGCACGAAGGACAAGGGAGGAATGAGCTCAAAAGTGAAGTCTATGAAATAGTGTTCCCTTAACATAGTGAATAATACGAAGTACAACAGCATAATGAGTGGAGCGAGGGGCAGCCATAAACTGACTAACAACATGAACTGCATATGCTATGTCTGGGCGTGTCGTAGTAAGATAAACCAAACTACCAACCAACTGCCAATAACGAGTAGGGTCAGGGAGTGAAGAACCATCTAATGGTGTGAGCTTGACATTTGGTTCTAGAGGTGTGGAGACATTCTTACTATCAGTGAGATCGGCTTTAGATATGAGATCTGATGCATATTTCATTTGAGAGAGAAGATAACCATCATTTGAGGATGTAACTTCAAGTCCCAAAAAATAACTCAAAGAGCCAAGGTCTTTCATCTCAAATTTGTGGCTGAGAAACTACTTAAGCTCATCAGTCCCTGAAACATCATCTCCAGTGATAATCATATCATCAACATATATGAGTAAGAGAACCGTTCCTTGAGCAGATTTATGGACAAATAAAGCCGTATCATGTGGACTAGACGTGAAACCAAACTCACTTACAGTAGAACTGAATTTTGGAAACCAAGCTCGAGGAGACTGCTTTAAACCATACATGGCTCGTCGCAATCGACATACCTTATTCGAAGGAGGAGTAAGTCCAAGAGGCGGTTTCATATAAACCTCCTCTTCCAAATCACCATTAAGAAAGGCATTCTTCACATCCATTTGAAACAGCTTCCATTTACATATAGCAACAATAGTTAGTAAACTATGTATTGTGGTAAGACGAGCAACAAGAGCAAAGGTCTCCTCATAGTTAATGCCATATTCTTGCATAAAATCCTGTGCCACCAGACGTGCCTTATAGAGCTCCACAGATCCATCAGAATGAGTTTTGATCTTGTATACCCACTTGCATCCAACAAGAGTCTTATTAGTAGAGTTTTTGTGATATTGGATCCCAACAACGATAACCTTTATGTTATAGCCCATACACCAGAAAACAACAAAGTTGAGCTCGAGGCTCTAACTTGTGATGTTCATGAAAAGGTAAAAGAACAAAATAAGCACAACAAAAAATTTTAAGAAGATCATAGGCAGGAAGAATACCGTAGAGACACTCATAGGGAGATTTATTTTGTGTGACGATAGAGGGGACTCGATTTATGACATAGGCAGTTGTAAGTGCAGCTTCACCCCAAAAACGCTCAGGATATGAAGAGGAAATCAAGAGAGCACGAACTAAGTCCAAAATATTACGATGTTTTCGCTCAACCCGCCCATTTTGTTGAGAGGTATATGGACAAGATCTTTGTTGTATTGTGCCCTACTCTTTAAGAAAAGACTGAAATTTAGAATCGAGATATTAAAGAGCATTATCAATTCTCAAGACCTTGATAATTTTAGAGAATTGAGTCTTGATCATATTAGCAAACTCAACATAAATTTGAGGTAATTCTGAGCAATTTTTCATCAAATATAGTCAAGTGAAGCGAGAGAGAATGATCATAAATAAATAACACAAAATATTTTGAACCACTCATGGTAGGAGTGGGAGATGGGCCCCATATGTCAAAATGTACTAAATCAAAAGGTGGAAGTGAAATGGAATCACTTTTATTAAAAGATAAAGCAGGCTGTTTAGCAACTTGACACGAGACACAATGTAAAGACTCTTCTTTAATAGAACCTAAAGACCCATTTTGAATTAAAGGATGAAGTTTACTAATAGAGGCATGACCAACAAAGTGCCGACACCTTGAGTGAAGCGCTAACGGGATACACCGTGTTGGGTTTTTGACCTTTTGTGCAATTTTGGTTAATGGCAAAATAACAGTCTTGGTCCCTAACTCCTAGATTCCGCGCAAGTTGATCATCATATTTCTACTCTCTGCAATGTGCTCCTTAATCAAAATGGAGAAAATCTTACTTGAGTCTTCAAGTTAACTTTTAAATTTGATCCTTGGACCCTCATCTTTCTAGCCCTTTACATTTGAGTCCTTTTCTTCTAATTCTCTCCATTTAGTTATCAAATCTTCAATTACCAAAAATTTACACAACATGAATAAAATGAACAATTACAAAATTACTTGTCAAAAAATATAATTGTTAAACCCATAATTCTACAATTATCAATGGTTAAGTACACTTTAAATATATGTTTTTATACTTTCATGGGTTTTGGAATTTGCTCAAGAAGCCATGATGTTGTGGAGCCAATGGCAATGCCCCAGTGGCACATTTACTACAGTAAGATGGCAAAGCAGGCTCTTGATGCAGCTATGGATGATAAAAATAGGAAGCTTGAGTTCATTCCAAGACAATATACTACCGAATGGAAGAAGTGGTAATGCCTTCATTACTGTTAATGAATAATGAATTTCAGTTAATGCATTAACATTAATGAACCTTATGTTTGTTGTCATATAGTTTAATCTGTGGTCATAATTCCTGACGATATTCCACTAATCATTTGCCTTCAGTACTTGAGATTATAGATGGCTTAATAACCCACGTGATTGGTGCATCTCAAGGCAGCTATGGTGGGGCCACCAAGTTCCTGCATGGTACATTAAACTAGAAGATAATGAATTGAAGGAACATGGAACATATAATGACAACTAGATAGTTGCTAGAGATGAGAAAGAAGCTTTAGCAGAAGTGTTGAAGAATTTTCAAAATATTTTCAAGATTTGGGTTTAAATCACAAAAAGTTAGTTCGAAACAATTGCACAAAATCCATTTAAGAAAATGTAACTTTGGTTCGAACCATATAATTATGGTTCGAATCATTTACGTAAAACTAGAATCTAGAAAATTACGATTTTGGTTTGAATCATATAAATGTGGTTCAAAACATTTACGTCAGAAATCAGAGATAGAATTTTGATAAGTTTATGAAGAAAGTGGATAACTTTGGAAGGTAAGGAAACGCGTCAGTTGGAATTCAAATAAACCTAAATGACTTTTGAAAGAGTTTCCAACAGATAAAAAATTGAAAAGAAGTGTCTGTTCTCAACAGACATCTTGAAAAAAGTGCATGTTCCAACAGACATCTTGCCCTATAAATATGAAGTTATTTCTTCTACTTAAAGGAGTCTTTTTGAACCCAGAAATATTTAAATAAAACAGTCACTTTTTGTATTGCGATTGCTCGAGAAATTCCTATACAAAAACTATTGTTTTGTTGCTTTCCAAAGGATGGTTCGGTGGTTGATCTTACTAGTGCAAAGGCTAGATCAACAAGGTGCTTCATTGTATCCTATGCGCATTTTGGGTTATTCTTATTAGAGTTCTACATTTAATTTTATTCTTATCAGAGTTCTACATTTAATTTTGAGAGAGTTTTGAGTTCTATTGTATCTGGAGGATTTTAAATCCTTAAGGAAAGTGAGATCATGTCTCAGAACAATTCTTTTATTCTTCTGTTATTTAATATTTCTTAACAATCTTAAGGGTTTAAAATACCTTATGGCTCTTTCTATGAACGCCAACATCAAGTTGTTGAATCCAGATGCAATCAGATTGGATAGGTTCGATGGCACCAACTACATGCGTTGGAAGGATAAGATGACTTTCCTACTAACAACATTGAAGGTGTCATACGTTCTTGATCCAAAATTGCAACCTGTCCAAGCACCGAAGGAAAATGATTCTGAAGCAGTGAGGAATGCAAGACTAAAGCGTGAAGAAGATGAACTCATATGTCATGGACACATTCTGAATTCTCTCACTAATAGACTTTATGATCTGTATCGCAACATGTCTTCTCCTCAAGAAATTTGGATTGCTTTGGAAAAGAAAGACAAGCATGAAAAGAAAGGTACGAACAAGTTTCTTGCACTTAAATATTTTGAGTTTGAAATGAAAGATGACATTTCCATCATGGATCAAGTGCATGAATTACAAACTCTGGTATCAAGAATGTCAGAGTTGGAGATAAAGATTCCAGATTCACTTCAAGTGGGGGCAATACTTTCAAAACTTCCTCCATCTTGGAATGATTATAGGAAAAAGGTTCTGCATTCAGATGAAATTCTGACTATGGAACAGTTTCAAACACATCTCTAGATTGAGGCAGAAAATCGTTCAAGAGATGCAATATTGGCACCCTTGAAAGTTAATTATGTGAGTCAAAATTCTACCAAGCCTTTCCAGAATAAACTCAAGCCTCTTAAGAAAAACAGTGCTTTCAAGAAAGCCTCTTTTAAGAAAAGTTAGCCTTGTTACCATTGTGGTAAGAAAGGTCACTTCATTAAAGATTGCAAATTCAGGAATAGTGCAAGGAACTTTGGTTTTGGCACTAGTGCAGAAACAAGCAACAAGGCAAATTTGATTGAGCATGAATTGGTTGCAATGGTTTCTGATATGCAAGTCGGGATGGTGACTGAATTGAACATGGCAAATCCAACCAAGTCTATGGATTGGTGGCTAGATTCTGGTGCAACAGTTCATGGGTGCAATAACAAAGCACAATTCAAGTTTTATGAAGATTTGAAGGAACTAGAGGAAGTGCTTATAGGAAACAATTTCACGGCAAAAGTTCTAGGCAAAGGCACAGTGGAATTAAGGTTTACTTCGGGCCACAAATTGACCTTGGTTAATGTTTTCCATGTGCCTGATATTAGAAAGAATTTGGTGTCTGTAAATCTATTGTATAAAAGGGGCTTGAGGGTTGTCTTAGAATAAGACAAGGCCATTATATCAAAAAATGGCAACTTTGTGGGGAAATGTTATTCTTGTGATGGAATATTCAAATTGAGTATTAATGAAATATAATGTTTCTGCTTATATTGTTGAGTGTTCTTCTACTTTATGGCATGCTAGACTAGGACATGTGAATTATGAATCATTAAAATATATGTCTAAGCATGGATATTTAACTTGTCAAAATGATTTTAAAAATAAATGTGAAATTTGTGTGCAAGGAAAGATGACTAGAAAACCTTTTCCAAAAAGAGAAAGAAATACAAAAATGTTAGAGTTAATGCATTCTAATATTTGTGAATTAAATGGTCATCTTACTAGAGGAGGTAAAAGATACTTTATAACATTTATTGATGATTGTTCTAGATATACATATGTGTATCTTATGAGAACAAAATATGAGGCTTTTGACAAGTTTAAAGAGTATAAATCTGTTGTGGAAAATCAAAAAGAAAAGAGAATTAAAGCTCTTCGTAGTGATAGGGGTGGTGAGTATTTTTCAGATATGTTTTCACAATTTTGTGAAGAACATGGCATCATACATCAAAGAACAGCCCCCTATTCACCCCAACAGAATGGTTTGGCAAAAAGGAAAAATAGCACTTTGGTTGACATGGTTAATTGCATGTTGATAAATTCGAAGTTGCCATTTAATCTTTGGGGAGAGGCATTTCTTACTGCCAATCATGTTACCAATAGAATTCCATCAAAGAAAACTCATGTTTCTCCATATGAGACTTGGAATAATGGTAAAAAACCAAATCTGAATTATCTCAAAGTGTGGGGGTGTCTTGCCTTTTATAAGGTTCCAGACCCACAAATGTTATAGTAGAATTTGTACATGTTGAGTTTTTTGAAGACAAGTTTATTAAAGATTCTTCTACTATGTTTGATTCTGGAAATTCTTTGAATAATTCAATGCATGAAAATCATAATGGTACAAGTACAAATACACTTCATGAGGAGAAAAGAAAAGAGAATGATGGTTCAATTGAACCAAGAAGAAGTACAAGGATTATGAGAGAAAAGTCTCTTGATCCTGATTTTATTTCTTCTCAATCTATTGTCTTCCTAGTTGAAGCAACTAGAACTGAAATAATTTGAAAAATACCCATGGTATCAAATGTTGAAGAGGATCCAAAAACATTTCAAGAAGCAATGGCTTCAAGGGATGCAGCTTTTTGGAGAGAAGTTGTGAATGATGAGATGGACTCTATCATGTCCAATAATAGTTGGATTTTAGTGGATCTTCCATATGGTTCTAAACCAATTGGTTGTAAATGGGTATTAAGACGAAAATACAATACAGATGGAACAATACAAACCTTCAAAGCAAGGTTGGTTGCAAAAGGTTTTACTCAAAAGGAAGGAATAGATTATTTTGACACATATGCTCCTGTTGCAAGAATAACATCTATAAGAGTTCTCTTTGCATTGGCTTCGATTTATAAGCTGTTTGTGCATCAAATGAATGTTAAAACAACATTCTTGAATGGTGACTTAAGTGAGGAAGTATACATGGAACAACCAGAAGGCTTCATACTTCTTGGAAATGAAAGAAAAGTTTGTAAATTAGTTAAGTCACTATATGGCCTAAAGCAAGCTCCCAAGCAATGGCACCAAAAATTTGATACACATATTCTAGCAAATGGATTCAAGCATAATGATGCAGATAAGTGTATCTATTCAAAGTTTACTAAGGATTATGGAGTTATAGTATGTCTTTATGTTGATGACATGTTGATATTTGGTACCAACATGTTGGGAATAAATGAAACCAAAAAGTATCTAACTTCAATATTCAAAATGAAAGATTTAAATGAAGTAGATATTATTTTTGATATTAAAGTAAAGAGACATGATCATGGCTTTGTACTTAGTCAATCACATTATATAGAGAAGATGTTGAATAAATTCCAACATCTTAATATAAAGGAAGCCCTTACTCCATATGATCCTAGTATGAAGTTGACCTTAAACCCAGGTCATATTGTTGCTCAATTGGAATATGCAAGTACAATAGGGAGTTTAATGTATGCCATGCATTGTACTAGGCCAGATATAGCCTTTGCAGTATGCAAATTATCAAGATATACAAGTAGACCAAGCCATGAACATTGGAAAGCTATTAGAAGAATTCTTGGTTATCTTAAAAAGACAAAAGAGCTTGGTTTGATTTACTCAGATTATCCAGTGGTCTTAGAAGGATACACTGATGCAAGTTGGGTCACTAGTAAGAGTGATAACAAATCTACTTCGAGTTGGATCTTTACACTTGGAGAAGGTGCAATAAGTTGGGCATCAAAGAAACAAACATGCATCTCACATTCTACAATGGAATATGAGTTTATTTCTTTAGCAGCAGTAGGCAAGGAAGCAGAATGGTTGAGAAATTTATTGCTTGATATAAAGTTGTGGCCACAACCTATGCCAACGATTTCCTTGCACTGGGATAGTGAGGCTACAATGTCTAGAGCATATAGCAATATTTATAATGGGAAATCTAGACATATTAGTCTCAGACATACTTATATTCGAGAGTTGATCACTAGTGGAGTTATAACAATAATCTATGTAAGGTCTGCAGACAATCTAGCTAATCTTCTCACAAAAGCATTACCACGAGATGTGGTGGAAAGGATGTCATTAGGAATGGGGCTTAAATATTTAAATTAGGCATTGGTAATGGGAACCCAACTTTTATTTAGTCATTTCTAAATTTAAAGTTTAATGGGTAAGAACAAGTTACTATATATGCTTGTTTAGCACTTGAAACCTATTCCTACTTTAGTCAAGTGCTGACTGTTGCGTTTTGGAGGATGAGTGTAAACTCTTAATGGAGTTGATCATTTCTAAGTGTCTATAGCAACAGGGACATAAACAACTCCACCTAAATGGTCATAGAAGTGGTGCCGCTTCAACAAGAAGATGTTGGATTCTCTTGTAAATGACCATTATTAGCAGGATGAGCACATGGCCATAATAGTGCTAAAAGGTTTTAAACCTTTTGGATTAGATAGACAAGCCTTATGTGTGTCACACACTTATGTCTAATATAAGTAGTTATGGTTTAATCTTTGGACACCAATAACTTCATTAGATATGAAGTATGTACACTAATGGAAGGTTTAAATCAAGAGATACCTTCTTTAAGCATGTTACTTGTCAAGTAGAACTAAATTAACATTTCCAAACTAGTGGGGGAGTGTTGAATAGTTTGTAAATGTTTGAGATCCCACATCAAGAAAGTATGGGAACTTAAAGGAGTTTATAAATGCCTATCCTTTATCAACAAATAATTAAGTAAAGTGAAACCCAAGGGAAACCCAAGGGAAATTGGGTCTTGGCCCTTTATATATAGTTAAAAGATGGGTACTTGGGGCACCTTGGGGCTTGATTGCCAAAACATCTTTAATTTTTTATTATTTTCGGATTTTTTATTTTATTTTATTAAATTATAATTTGGAAAGACATGTTTGAAAATTAAACATGACTATTGGTAGTCAAAAGGTACCTCTATGAAATGGTGTCTTTTGGAGGGATACAGACATGACTATTGGCAGTCAAAAGGTACCTCTATGAAATGGTGTCTTTTGGAGGGATACAAACATAACTATTGACAGTCAAAAGGAACCTCTATGAAATGGTGTCTTTTAGGGGGATGCATCCCTTCAAATAGTGACTTTTCAGGCATTATAAATTCCTATGCAATGTCAGAGTTCTACATCTAATTCTAAGAGAGTTTTGAGTTCTATTGTATTATGGAGGATTTTAAATCCTTAAGGAAAGTGAGATCACGCCTCAGAACACTTCTTTTATTCTTCTGTTATTTAATATTTCTTAACGGGCAATATCAGTCTTGTGATGTTTTCATTGAAGCAATCAAGCCTTACTTTGCTGGAGATTGTCCGGCATTTTTCCTCTGAAAGGAGATGTGCCAAAGATGCTCTTTGGCTGTGTCTTGAAACTGGTCTACGCTTGCTTCATCCTTTTATGCCATTTCTTACTGAAGAATTGTGGCAGCGCCTACCTGGCGCAAGGAACCTTGCAAGAAAAGAGTCCATAATGATATGTGAGTATCCATCACCTGTAGAGGTAATTTTAATTTAAGTAGCCATGCCTAAGTTTCATTTGGCTCTTAACCTCTACTTTTACAACATCGCAGCTAATCAAATATGTTCGTGTTTTCTTATAATTTTTGTATCTAACTTCAAGCTTTTAGAATTTTAATGAATTTTTATCAGTAGTATACATAGCACCAAAGATCTCTTTTGGCTGGTTAAGTTTAGGTTGGTTATCCTGACAATGAATATTGATGACAAGACATTTGAGTGTTCTTCTTCTTGGAACAGAGTTGGTCAGATGACAGGGTTAAACAGGATATGGATCTTGTAGAGTCAACTGTGAGAAGTCTCAGGGCAGAGCTGCTTGCCAAGCAGAAAAATGAAAGGTAAGTGAATGTAACATTTTCTTCTGTCATTTTGGTTTGGGTTTAATTTCAATCACTGGTCTAAACAGCAGTCATGTTATCAATGACATCTAGATTTTAATAATTGTTCTTCTCCAGGTTGCCTGCTTTTGCTTTGTGTCAAACTGATGCTGTCGCTGAAACCATTAGAAGTCACAAATTAGAGATCTTAACTCTAGCCACTCTATCATCTTTAGAGGTATGACATTTTTTTGGTTGGTTGTATCTTTTTTAATTATTTTGTCTAAGCAGTAAAAATAAGATAAATGGTAATAGCTAATTATACCTCTCCTTATGTCTTGGTTATAAGGAATAACTATTTCTTTTGTGTAATATTTTTATAGTTTGACTAAGGAATGACCACTCCATCCACACAAACCTAGCCGTAAAGTTTTAATATTAAAAGCCTATCCTTTGCCATTAGTAGTGTCGACAACCTCTCCTTCAAATCACCTTATCAAGGTTACACATTTCTTTATCATCTCTTCTTGATCACCTTGCCCCTCCCTTGGAGTATGATTCATTATGAGAATCCTTTGAACTTCTTTAACTGATATGAAATGTTGAGTTTTGCAACTGCAGAGATATTGATAGATTTGAGTATACATTTCTTACCATTGACATTTCAAATCACCTAGTTGTTTGCATGCAAAATGCTAGAGTTTTGCATTCACCCTGATATCTATGGTTGAAGTGACTCGATTGACTTAAGGACTTAAGACATGCATGGTGGAATCCATGTGCATCAAATTCTCACCACTCATATTGTTATTCTTACAGGTTCTCCTTGGTGGAAGAGATGCTGCACCAGATGGGTGTTCGCTTGTGAATGTAAATGAAAACCTTGTGGTTTTTTTCAAGGTTCATGGAACTCTAAACAGGAGAGTGGAAGTTGAACAGGGAAAAATTAAGGTCCTGTTTGCTACCACAGATGAAATTCGGCATAGAGTGGTTTGTGAATTGTGGCTGTTGAAAAAAATTAAGGACATTTTGTACATCGTAATCAAAGATTTGAGAATGGTGGGTGAGGCATTTTGAAAAGAAGAG